CTAAGCGAACAACGAGCTCAAGGATTAAGGTGGTGATCACGGTGATCCTGTCTGGAAGAGCGGAAACGGCGGAAGCGAGTGATAGTTGCATGCGCGGTGTCCCGGCCATAGGTCGAGGAAGTGTCGAGAATGTTTAGGGTGACAGTGACAAGAATGATTTCAGACGGCCGTGTGGTTCAGATTTCACAGCGCGCGCGTCCTAAAAGGGAAACAAGCGATAAAGAAGATCTCTGATATCTATTCATCTTCCCAAGAATTTTGCCATCTTAAGCTTCCTTAGAAGCTATTATAATCGAAATCGAAATTAAAGAACTTTCCAAGAACTTTCAAAGTGCCTTTTCACATTGACACTCGACGCTCAATTTCACCGTTAGAAGTCATCACGCGATCAAAGACTACTACAGCAGTTGGTTATTTTTAGTCGCATGATGTCTTTTAACGTTGAAATTGAGCGTGGAGCATTAACGTAAAAAGATACCTCGTCGCTCGTGAAATTCATTATGTGAAATATTACTGTTTTGTTGTATACTGCAGTATTTTATATCCCAGTTTTATGGAAGTGCTTTGCCGATCTTGGGAAGGTTAAAATTATATTTCAAATATGCGACTTATATTCATATTTAATGCTAAATGATCTCAACTCAAGGTAACATCATAATTTTAATATGAGATATATTTAACGCTAAAAGTAAGGTAAAATACAAACTAATAAGTTCTTGAATTCTATAATACAGTTGATTACGTTAAGACGTAAATTAATAAATACGGATGCATTTTCTTTTTTTTTTAATCGAGTCTTTTCTCTAATACGAATAAAGCATATAATAAATAAAACAGCAAATAATTTAATTCTAAATTTCAAATTAAAGATAACTAACTATAAGCTGCATGCAGAACCTCTTTATGTTGATTATGTGAGACCTAATTGGATTGTATCAGAAATAATTCAATTATAATTTTATCTCTCCTGATAACGACTTCTATTTATTTAATATGACGTTCATCTAGTTGTAATGATGTTCATCAAGCTAAATGTCACACGGTTTGCAAATTTATGCAACTAAGAAACTCGTGAAAGACGTCGGACGATAATGTCACGTGGATAGACGGAAAAGAAGCTGCCTCACGTTCTTATAGCACGGCACTTTCAATTTAGCGTCTGTTTTTCCAAGGGTTCGACTCCCGTCTTGCGAAAACACTCGACAGGACACGTCGCCACCCTCCATTCCGCCTACGTCCGAAACCGTTGAATCGCGCTATCCAGGTTCTCAAAATACTTTCGATTGTTCAGGCGTTCCACTTTTCGCCATTCAAATTGATTCGATGCGAGTACGGTGCAAATATTGTCGAAAACAAGTTCACACAATATTGTGCAAAACAATTAAACGATTTTACTCATTTAATTCTTATTCATTTAAGAATTGTAGATATATATGTTTAATAATTGTATAGATAAAGGATATAAGTTCAATTATAAATAGAAAAAAGTTACACGTACGTAAAACATACACAATACATGTTCATGTACATATGTGTGTACCCCTATGTATAAAATATATATATATATATCTGCAAAATATAATTGTAAATAAAATACAATAAAACTATGGTATCTAGATCTCTAAAAACAGACCTATAAATTCTCATAAAATTCACGAAATTGAACAATCCAATATCCAATCATGCCTGGATGAAATCCATTTTCACTTCACTGATAAAAAAAAATTTCAAATTACTTAAACAATTTAAATTTTATTTTATGAAGCAAGATAGAGCATATTACAAACGCACTAATTCATGAAATAACACAAAATATATGAAAATACAAAAACATAATTATCTTACACCCCCACATGTTACGTAACACATACACTTTGCCCATTTAACAAGTTACGATCCTTCATTACAATTTAAAGAACATTCGCAGACTAATGATGTTCGTGTGATCACTAGCACATTTTCCCAAGCCGCGCAGTGTCAAATTGATCATCGCCCCCCCCTCCCCCCCCAACCCTACCAGGTGACCACAGGCGGTTAATTTTCATTTAAATGGAACGACGAGTGAGCGCTGTAGGCATTCCAGCTCTAGATCCACGACCTCTTTCTGTCGCCCTGGGCTAGCTAGCGCAAAACCAAGATGCAAAACGCTTTGAAAGTTCCGGCGAAAGTTTAATTGTCTTTTGCTTGCATTCTATCTAGGTTCCTCGCTCTCTATACCATCGAGACGAGTTACTACAACACAATCTATAATCCGCCTGATAAGATCAACCCGCTTGTCATATAATACATTCGGAATATAATTATCTTATCTCTATTTATATTATTATATCTTACTGTATCTGTACTAATATTTATTTTCCCGTGACAAAAATTTTATCTCTTTCCAAAATTCTACGCTTATCGTATGTAGAATATTTAGTGTTAAAAAAAAAAGAAAGGAAGCAGCCAGTTAATATAAAACTTTAAATATTTTAAACACAACTCTGATTATCCTTCACTGATCCATTTGCCATTGTGTATATTAAATCTTGCGAAATTATTATGGAATTAAAATCGCAAATTCACTCAGACTAAGCTGCATAATGAAAAATCTATTAAGAAATATCTAAAAAATAATATTTGTTTAAGAATAGTAAATGTTTTAAGAAAGAACGTTATTGAATTATATATTAAAAGCTATTAAAATTAACCATTTATATTAATCAATAAATTTCTGAATTATTTAATATAAATTTGCAAATTTATATAAAGTCAGAATATACAATGCACTACTTTACCCGATCATTGCGAGCAATCAATCAAAATATGCAATATTCGCGAAGACCGGATTTACTTAGTCGACGTTAAACTTAATAAGATCTCTTCATGAAGCGAAGTTTGTTCATAATCGGGATCAGCGTCGATTCGATGTAGGGCGTACACGAGCGATTTGCATATTTGTTATCGCCTCGGGGAAATCGATTAAACGGGCGGAACTAAAATTAATTATTGAAATAATTATCGTTTCCAATCGTAGCACCGTCATCGAATCGAGAGAGATTGATATTCAAAATATCATTAAATTTATTAAACATATAATCTTGTTATTTTTCTTACACTTTATGAAATAATTTTAAACCTTCTCTCGAAAGAACCGATTGCATGAAGTTTATATAATGTTCTTTAGAAAAAGTTTATTAAAATTCAAAGATTTATAAGTAAATGACTTTTATCGTATCAGTAAAATATATCAGCAAATTATTCCTATATGGCATAAAAATTTTATCTTTTTCCGAGATTCTACGCTTATCGCATGTAGGATATTTAGTGTTAAAAAAAGGGGAGAAAGCAGCCAGTTATAAAACTTGAAATATTTTAAACCCAACTCTGATTATCCCCCACTGATCTATTTGCCATTATTACTTTTTATATTTTATTATTATTTTTTTATGTTTTACTGTTAATTGCAGCAATATTCCTCACTTTAGACGCTTGCATAAATTTCTAAAGGCAAAAAGATGATGTGGTGTAGTTAAGTGAAAAGCGTTCGTGAAAATAATTTTTGATTGGCAATTACAAAGTCTTCTTCCAAATCTCTTATTTATTTTCGGAGATACGGTCGTCGCAATAAACAATCTCGATCAGTGTTCGATATGATCTGATTTTGCAGTATCTAAGCGTACAGAAGCCTCGCCTTTTTTTATCTTGCATCTACTGGGCGCAAAACTCTAGTGAGTCTCGATCTGTCCGCAAGTTTATTCTTTCATGTCTGCGTTTATCAGGAGATTCAATCGCTCCGCGTCGCACGATGAGACTAAATTAATATATGTTTTTCTTAAAATTTACCTATCTTACTACATTAATATATTTTTTTAAATTTCACGGTAGCCATCTAAAAGAGTTTATAAATAAAATACGTATACAGTTTAGAAAAAAAGATCTATTCTTGGTGCTTTCTGTATTTAAACGACTCATAAATGCCATTCGCCTCGTTTTATGCAATTTAAAGCATTCGGAGATTTTTAGAGAATAACGTTTTGTATTTTAACTCATACCGCCGCTGCAAATATTTTCCCTGAAGTGCACCGCGGATGTGTTTGGAAAATTTCGAAACTTTTCAAAATAAACGGCATCCCTTGACCTATCTCACGCGACCGGATTCTGGACGATATGAACATCCGTATCCCTCTAAGCTCTCTTCTTTCTCGACCAGAAACAATAAACTTCTTATTTCTGTATGACGTCGCCGTCGTATCGGCCGTATCTCGATTGGTCGTAATTTCCGCGAAAGAAAGTACATTATGACGCACACGAAACGTATAAAAATAGCGACGAATAATGCTATCGGTATTTTGCGCAAATAATTCACGTCTGCGAATTGCACGGCATTTTTTGTCTTGTATGTTTTGTTCGTCGGAACTACATCGGCGCTTGAAAATTCATCGTACTTTTCCCGCAGCTCCTATTTGCGTCAATTATTTTTATAAGCTTCTGCAAAATTACAAGTTTTTATATACGAATACACATTTCATGAATAAAGCAGTTGTTTTATTAATAT